AAGGAAGGAAGGAAGGAAGGAAGCAAGGAAGAAAGTACTGAAGGAAGCAAGGAAGCAAGGAAGCAAGGAAGAAAGCAAGGAAGCAAGGAAGCAAAGAAGAAGGAAAGAAAAAATGCATGCAAACGTTTTGGCACAATAAATACCTTGAGAAGTGGAAGGCCCGTGGCTTTGTGTGCTATCAGCACTTGAACTGCTTGCAATGGCCGGAGGAAGTGATGCGGAAGATTGGAATCCCGTTGGACTTGTAATAGGCGATGTTTGATTGGTAGACTACAAATATAAAATATAAGATTATAATCTATTTTAGTATAAATATAGTAAAACTAGTAGCACAGGGGGTGCGTACATTTAGAGCAGATTCCTCCTTCTTTGTCACTTTTTTGTCCATCAAAGCCTTTGGAATAAAGAACCATTGTGTAAAATAAAAACATTGGGGTGGGGTGGGTAGGGGTGGGGTGGGTAGGGGTGAAATAGAAAGGTGGGGAAGACATGCCCTGAACAACAAGAATTTCGCCTCTGAAATATACATGTATTCACTTATACATCCAAATTAAATCAGAATTCTTGACACCACGACCCTAATTGTTTCAAATACAAGGAGTTTGAAGTTTCAGTACCTTTTCATTGTCGCTTGGTAGAGGTGCATTTAATAGTGAAGGTGCTCGGTCTAAGCTGGTACTCAGTCTCACGGACACACGCTGAGGACGCACCTCTTTACTAGGAGACTTGTCAACCTTACCTATAAAATATGCCACCCATTAGTCTATATTATATGGGAGGTGCCCCAGCGTTGGGAAGGGGAGAGACGGCGGGATGTTTGACATTTCCAAAGGGGAAATTATTCCAAATATTATAATCCAAGTAATTATATAAATAGGTTCGGCACAAGTCAAGAGCGTCATCGGGATCAGTTGTTGCAAGATGTGGAAAGCCCTGCCGAACTTGTTTTCCATCTAAAAATGCTGAACCAACTGATTCAGACTCTCTTTGAAGGGAAGGGAGTAGAGAAAGTTGCCTATGAGTATCTAGTTTGAAGCTTTCAATGCCAAATACCCATAGTGCTGGACGCCTCATAGATTTACACTTTAAAAAAATCAAAATTTTTTAAGAGATTCAGAATATTTACTTTTTGGATTCCATGTTGCATCCACTCTTTCACTTTTCTTCTTTTTCATTCCCGGTTTCCAATTACTTTTCTCTTCATCTACCATTTCAGAAAGTGGAGGGTAGGCTGTTGGAAGAAAAGGTTTAAAGTCACGAATAACATCAAAAGGGTTTTCTATTTGTTTGTAGGAAGCTTATCCATCACTTAGCATAGATAAAGGACTTCTAGGACTTCTAACAAGTGATCACAAATAGACCTTATTACTTTGAGAGTATTGATTTCCCATTTCAAAAGTATTGAGAACTTTCTTTGCTTGATTTTCATTCACATTGATTCCTCTTCTTATATGTGTTAACAGAAAAAAGTAGTTATACTCAAAGAAGTGACATGTGGTCTGCTATTTTCATACAAATACGACCTCTAAATACTGCAAGCTGCACATTGACAATTGGTTATTTGCTGCCGCCAGTAAAAAACATGAATGGTACCAACTGATTTGTTTTGATTGACAGATCTTAGCATGCAGCTAGCGAGTTGTCCAAAGTAAAAGGGCCTATATYGTGAGATGCACAGATGTTTAAAAAATGCTTTTTTTTCGCAAATAATATTATTATAATAGTACTATCTTGCTTTTCAAGTTGCTTAAAAATTGTGTCATTATTAAAAAAAAACCATACCAAATTTTTTATCTTTGAAATAGTCCGAGTCCCCGAATCCCAAATCTTCTCCACTGCCTTCTTCTTCACTGTCACTATACGGTCTTTTGGAGTTCAGTTTTGTTTTCTGTGTGCTTCGTATTGTATGAGGGGCTGCTTTGTTTGTTGGGTGTGTATCGATTGGATTATGTGCGATTGAATCTTTGAATCTTTGAAACTACTGAAGCCAAACAGAAGAGTCTTGGCTGCTTCTATCTCGGCCCTGTGGAATACAAAGCACAACAATTATTGCACTCTTGACCACTGCTATTTTCATAAACATGCAAACTCACTAGCTGCGAGCTGCACGCTGAAATTTGATTTTTCGCTGCCGTCAATCAAAACTAATCAGTCGGTGCTTTTCATATTTTTTGGTTGACGGGAGCAAAAAAGAAAAAAATCAGCGTGCAGCTCACAGCTAGCAGTAATAAACAAAAAAATGATGTTTTGCATATGTTTCATACTTTAAATCCCTGTCCTTGGATTCCATTTGAGCTACGGGCTGTAATCGTGCTTCTGTGCTTGTACTCTGAAGCCCCTGTGTTGTTTCTATACTAGCAGATGTGTTCATAAATTGGGGTGTTCCACCCAAACTAAAGCCAAGCTCATCATCAGAGAAATCTAAGTCGCTGTCATTGGGCAGGATTTGGTTGTCTTGTGCAGTGAAACCAGCTGAGCTCACTGGAATGACGAAGGATAAAATTAAATTGCATCAAACCCTTACAAACTCTAACTACTAAGTTTGGGCTGATCTATGTCAGGGAACATCTATTTCACCCCGGTCTGCTCTCAGTCTGACCTCTAGCTCAGCTGGTAGAGCATCGGTAGCACAATTCCGAAGGTCGTGGGTTCGATTCCCAGCGAGGTCGGAAATTAATTTTTCTGAATTTAATTCCAAGGGTCTTTCGCCCAGAAGAACCTCGTTCCCAAGCACTATGACTTATACATATTTCTATATCTTCATGTAAGTCAGGGAAGGACTAACTCACAGATTGAACCCTGAAACAACTTCTAGGCTGATCAAAGTCTGGGCATGGCTAACTTACAGATCAAACCTTGAAACAACCTCGGGGCTGGTCTAATTTAGGGCACACACTAACTCTACACCACGCACTACGCCACAGTCCCTGATTCAATAATTAATAACATGAGATATTCATTACATACTTGATAGTTTGAGCTTCAGTGGCTGTTTATTTGTTGTCGTACAAGAGTATTGACCCTCAGTATCCATACTGTCACCTGCTAAGGGTTGAAACTGTCTACTGCTGTTGCTCATTTCCACTGAAGAACGATTGCTTCTGGAAGATAAAAAATATGTCTTGAAAAAAAAAACAACCAAGATCTTAAAAAAATAAAAACAAAAAAGTCCCTTTTTCATGAGGGTAGCACTTAATAGCCATTGGCTAACAAACCTGTGGCCCTCATTGCGTGATCGAATTGGAATTTAGGAGTTGATTTTTGTGGAGGGAGGAAAACCAGAGAACCCGGAAAACCCTCGAAKCACAGGAGAGAACCAACAAACAACTCTACTCATATACAACACCAAACCCGGCRGGACTCAAACTCGGGTTGCATTGATGAGAGGCGAGCACTCACACCGCTACACCACCCGTGCTTCCCATTGATTTTGGCTTTCTCAATTGAGGATTAATTGTGCAAGATTATTGCACAGGAACTTCGTACTCAAGCAATAATTCTAAAAGTAATATAATAATAATGATAATAACTATTGATAATAATATAAGAGTAAAGAAAGAGTATATTCACCATAACCAGCATCTCCTCATAATCATCATCATCATTATTGCCATCATCCTCATCATTTCGTCATCATCAATGCCATCATCATAATCATCATCATCATTATTGCCATCATCCTCATCATTTCGTCATCATCAATGCCATCATCATAATCATCATCATCATTATTGCCATCATCACCAGTGTCATGTTCATTATCATCAATACCATCATCATCATAACCTCATCACCAATACCATCATTATCGTTATAAATGTCATATGTAAAGTGCTTTTCAATGAGGTAAAGAACTGCTAGCATTACCTTACTATTTTTCCATTTGATACAACTAGTTTTAAGCTCGAATCTACAGATGTGCTGTAGCTAGGCTCTAATTTCTCCAAGCTTTCTTGTCTTCTAGGGATTTTTAATTTAAGTGAAGGCATACTCTTAGAAAGGGAATCCCCCTGATACTCTGTACAGGAATCCTCTTGAGTGTCCAGGGAATCCCCCTGGAAGCCACCAGGATTTGCTATTCTTATAATTGGCTTTGATTCATCAACTTGGCAAGAATATCCTTTTTCTTCATTTGAATTTTGATCTTTCTTTAATGTTCTTTTTGAAGGACCTTGAGTGTCGAGAGCCAAATTTTTTATTGTAATTCTGTTGCTTGCATCTATTGTGACAGAAGGGGTTAGCTTCACTGTAGTCTTTGGTAATTCATCAAATTTTGGAGTGGATGGTCTTGAAGTCTTAGATTTCTGAAGAAGAAAATAATAAACAGAGTTCTTGAAAGAATTATTGGGAACATGTGTGGTGTGCTGTTAAATGCACTGCCTGAACATTGTTGTCATGGGTCCAGATGCCTTACCGCCATTTGCATTGCTCCGTGGCCACCCCAGACAAAAATTGTGACATGCACTTTGCAATAGACTGCCATCAATCAAACACGTTGACATCATTTATATGTGTGTGTGATTCAAAAGGTGCCAAAATTTGTGAATTGTTTACAAGTATTATGACCCACACTCTCCGGGCCTATCCGGGCCGATCCAAACGTGTGTAAATGACATTAATGTGTTTGATTGACGGCGGTCTATTGCAAAGTGCACGTCACAATTTTTGTCTGGGGTGGCCGCATAGCAATGCAAATGGCGGTAATTCCAACATACTGTATGTTTTAGAGTGCTTTGATGATAAAGGAAARTTCAAGATATTAGGGTACCAGATTATTAACAGTATCCCACTGTATCCCCAAATGATATGCATAAAAAACCTTATGATTTATAAGCCATCAACTAACCTCTGCTTTTTTCAACTCTTTATTCAGAGATCTAATAAGTTTTCCTGGTTGAACTCCATCAGGAATAAAAAACTTGTGATATTTTACAAACTCCTATAAAAAAACGGTTTTATTAAAAGAACAATAATACCCAGGGAAAATAAATCTCAGTGAAATTAAATCTCTCTGTTTGACTTTTTCTGCCATTTGTCCTTTGAGGCAACTTAACTTTTTTTTAAATGTGCTATATAGCAGTTACCTCTCCTTTAGTACTCCATTCCTTGAGTTTGTCAGCTAGAGCTCGTAATCCTTTTGTAATATACTGGGGAACTTTGTTTCCATTCTCAAGAAATCCTGCAATTCAAAATTACAAGTGAAACCATTCATTGACAAGCTTACTTTCTCCATCCCTCAACAAATGACTTGACCTTAATTAAGTTAGTTGTCAACTGATTAGATCAGCCTAAAGATCATACAGTATCAGGTTTTAATCTACAGGATTGGGGTTTTTAGACCTCCATAAAATTGTATATGGAACTTTGAATTTGATCAGATATGGTGAAACAAGCCTGCATGACCTCATGCGAGCTTATAATAGGGGAAAGATTAAAATGTAAAAAGTTCTTCTACCTTTTAACTTGTCCAGCAAGTAGATTGCTGCATACCAGTTTACAGTTTCATAAAATGGATGCTGGAATTTGGTTGGTGTTTTCAGCTTTATTTCTAAGTCATAAATTCTGTAAAAAAAGACAAACAAAACATAGTGAGCACATTTCATTGCTACCGATCTTTTTGGGGTTCAAATCTGTACTTTGAATACAGAAGGGGAATTGCCTCAGACCCAAGTTCACCTTAACAAATCATTCCTTTCCTCCCATCCCCAAAAAGAGTGCCCCTGGAATATCAAGGGCGGATCCAGGGTTTTTTTGAAGGGGGGTCTCAGGGGTAAATTTTGTGGGCAAAGGAATCCCAGTCGCATTTTTACCACAAGAAGCCCATTTGACCTCAGGAATGACAGGGGGGTCRCGACCCCCCCGACCCTCCCCCTGGATCCGCCCTTGAATATGTATTGACCTGCATATTATTACGATATTTCTGCATATAATTATACAAGATTCCCTAAATTTTGGAAAAAAAACTTAAATTTAACATGCACTAAGAAATTGGAGTATAATGTTGGATGAATAACAAACACGACATACTCTTACTGTAGACTTAAACACAGTACTTACTCCAGTTGGAGTCCAATGTTGAATGAATGAAGAAAGTTGCCACCAAACACCAATGAATCAGTTGGAGTGAAAACACCATGGATCCAGCCTGTTGAATAAGTACATGACTTGTATGCTATCATCAGTAAGCTAACCGCATGTGGTTTATACTGGTCTCCAGAACCTCTCTCCCTAATCTAATTTTATATACCAAAGGATTCAATCAACAGATTACTGTGACAGTAAAATACTGTACCTGTAGGAATGAAGAGTGTTTGGCCCTGCTTGATGTTCACTTTATAACATTTATTGACCATATTACCAAAGAATACCTCACTCTGGCTGGGTGATATTACCCACTTGTGGTACTGCTCAAGGTTGGTTGGAGTTGGTTCCACGAAGTAGAACACCTTTTCACCCTAAAAAAATCCACACTTCATTGGTCAGGATGAAAATAATATGAGGACAACCTCAGAATAGACTACTACTATTGCAGAATGAAAGCTAGTCGAGTGATTCAACCCAAGGTTTTTATTGCTACTGTAAGTAGAGAGTTCTGTTGCCAGTTGGAATTTAATTTTTCATTGATGCAGTCAAAAAGTAATGCAAAACGTTCAGACTGTTTAAGTTTGATTGACAGTGCAGCAAAACAAAAACAAAAAAAACGAAAAAAAAATAAAAAAATAGCACACAGCTCCCAGTTACAAGTCTGAATGTCAAAAACTGCTTTAACTCTGACGTGTTGAAGAAATAGAAAACATACGTCTGTGCTGTGTGCAGTTATGAAGCACGTGGGGGTTGGCAGAACACGAGAGAAGTGTTAGGAGAAGCACGACGCATAGCAGACAAAAAGTGGGCATGCATGCTGTGTGCTCTCATAAAGCACGTGCTCCCAACCAATCAGAATGCGAGATTCATAACAGCTGTTTTATAATGATCATTAATGACCAAGAGACAAGGCATGCAAAATAATACCAATGTCACAGATAATGTGGTGGCAGTGCATCACCCTACAAAAACCAGAAGACACCAAAAATAATGGTAAAATATTGTCAAGAGTATGTTGGCTGAGTATCGGCCATACGTTACAGCCAAGGCTTGGCCAATAGCTGGCCAAAGCACGACTGACAGATGGCTGATATTTAACCAGTACATGTCGGCTGATCATGAACTGGTCACTTACCCTCAAGACATGATACCAAACTGATGTGCCACCAAAATCCACATGGAAGTCTGTGTAACAATTCTTGACACTCATCAAACAGTATTTTTGGACATAGGGCCTCTTATGTGGGCTGCAATGAAAAATATACGTACCAAACTGATTAAAAAAAATTTTAAATGCAATTAAGAATTTTGCTTATTTTTGATCAGTTGACTACCAATTGATGCTGCCATATGGCCAGCACTAAAGCTATTTGTCCTCCTAATAAGGTTTTCCATAAGTTTTTATTTCTTTCTTCTGTCAAAACAATTACATTATCTTAATGCAATTACAAAGAAAAATGTATCGACAGCAGCCAATCAGAGCTTATTATATGTGTATAACCATGCAATTATAAATGTGTCTAGAACAATGAATATTGTACAGAATATTGTAAAGAACATCTTAACCAGAGTTTTTAAGATTGGCCATCATGGATTACATGATTTGAGCATTGCATAAAGGAATTTAATGGGGTAATCATTATAATGACACAAAATTCCTGTACCTGTCTTCTGGTAAGTCTGTAGGCCATGCGTGGTTCACCCAGTCCATGTCTCGAACAACAGTTGGGATCTGAACCAATGGGGACAAACTAAACAAAAACAAAAAAACAAAAAATGAAAGACAAAAAAACAGTTAAATTACCGCCATTTGCATTGCCACGCGATGATGATGTCAACGTGTTGTCTTTTGCAAGTGCATGTTGCGATTTTTGTCTGGGGTGGCCACATGTAGCAATGCAAATGGCGGTAATATTTGGATTTAATTAATGTTTTAAATAATGATTATTAACTAAAGCTATTTTAGGCCATGTGTCATTCCCTGGAGCATTGTATCTTTATTCACTAGTTGTGAGCACTTCCAGGGTACAATAAATAAATGTGGATGCAGTACCCTTGAAAATATTGCTTTCTCCAAATGACCAATGATGCAACAAGGGTAACAACCCTGGGCCCATTCCCTACATTAGGCTGTGCCACATAATAAACACAGACAAAGCAGTTTCTCACCCAGTCTTGGAGAATTCAAGGCTTATGACATTCAATGTCTTCTTCTTGATTGGATTCATGTAATATTCTGTCCATTCTCTCATAACCATCTTGATATCCTCCTGTTAACATTAAAACATGAAAAACAATAAATTGCAATGCAAAGAGTACTTATAGCAATCATTCAATGCATGCTTTTTTAAACTACACAGCATGCGATAATCCGTAAAAAAAAAGTCAGAGAATGGATGCACAATATTTCAAAGCCGACAATGAGGACTGGAACTAATTGCGTGGACTTGAAATCCTGTCCAGTCTGATATTGGAGGCTTTGGAATGACTTTTCATGCTCATTATTATTCAACTTGGAGTAACTGGAACAAAATTAATTCAGTCCTAGGACTGAATTAATTCTGTTCTAGTTACTACAGACTGAATTCAGTCCTTTCACATGCCTTTACCAGGTTTCAAGTTACCTCATGTGACCCAAAAATAGCCTATTAATAGGCTGGTTTCCTCATGAATTATTAATGAATATGAGAAGCTAAACATACCTGTTTGTTGACATCAATAACATCCAGCTCCTTCATTGAGCCTAAAAGATATCATCATAAATTATGTAATTATCTTGACACACAAATTTAAGGTAAAAATTAGTTCATTAAAACAAAGAATATCAACCATTGGACTTACCAATATGTTTTTCTACATCCATAATGCTAAAATCTTCAGATGGAACCACAAGGCCAAGACCATCTTTCTTATCAACACAAACTGGCTTTGAAAACCCATTTTTCTCAAAATATTCAAGAGTTAAGTCTTTGCCTTGAGCTTTCACAAGAACGTCTTTTGAACTGCAAATGGCATAAAATTTACATTAAGTACTATATAATTACATTGGACCACAGCTAACTCTAACATTCAATCCTGAAACAAGTGCAGGGCTGATCTAATACAGGGCACTGAGCTAACTCACTGATTGATTGGGATTTACAGTGGAGGAAGGAAAAATGAAGAACCCAGAGAAAACCTTTGAATTAATGAAAATATCTTCTGCTCTAATATAATGTAATGCCAGTAACCAAACCTAAGACCCCAGATCAGATGAGGCAAGCTAAGTTGCTGATCTACCCTTGATTTATTGGAAAGGTTATAATTCACATCAGGTTTAGAGTCTTGAATTTAATACATAATAGTTACCATAGATCTAGATCCATATTTAAAATAAATGATATAAAAAATGCCAAAAATTCCAGAAATATATTATGATACCTTGCAAACTTTTTATTTTTGAGGTTGTTAATAAATAAAACTGTCCCTGTCTGGACTGCCTGTAAAAGAAGAAGTTGACATAAGTTAAAAATCTGAATGCAGATATTGGTACAAGAATCTTGGGTCGGACATAATATGAAAGGACAATATTCTCAGTCAGTGGGCAAAGTACCAGTAATAATTTAAATCTTTAATTGCTTTGGTCTAAAATTTGACAATATTTGCAAAAAAAATTACATTCTCTTGCGTGATCTTAGCCATGGCAGGGCTTAAAAAATGGCCGGCCAGTCGCAGGTAAAAATGACCAGCCAATTTACTTTTAGCTCTGTCTATTTGCTGGAAAAAATAATTAGGGGTGGGTGGGTGGGGGGGTGGATTTCCAAACAAACAAATAATATAGACTTTTCTTGCAAGCATGATCCTTCAAACTCCACATTTAAAATCACTATTTATTTTAAAAGTGTGTTTTTGAAATGCCTACCAATTCCCTCATCTACAGTACAGGTACTCTTCCTGAAGGAAAATCCCTTACATAATGGTTATCATACCTTTGATCCATCATCAATTTCACTGTAATCATGTCTGTGCCAATTCCTTCTTTTCTTTACTAAAAAAAGGCATAAAAATCAAAGAAAAATTATTGTGTCTCAATGTTTCAACACCATAGCTATTACTAGTTTAAGGTATCAGGGTACCCCTAGCGACCATTGTACATTCAACTCTTAATAGCACAAACCTTTTAATCGAAACCTCAACAAAGTATACATTTTCTGAAAGCTGAATAAATGTAGAAACTATTCCTTTTTTCCTTTTTGTAAAATATATTTATCCTTTTAAGTTAGAGTGAATTATTCAAATTTTCACCGTGGCATCTTCATGGAGTTTGATGACAGCCGGTAATGATCGGAAACCAATGCTTATTACCTTTCCAAGATCACAAGACATCACTTGTCAAAAGCGTGTCTCCGATTTTTGATTTTGTTGCCCCGTTGCTTTTTATACTCTCCTAAAGTTATGACGCCGCTATATCACCGGTATGCAAGGCAAAATCCACGATAACTTAGAAAATAAGCAACAACAAAAAAAAAAGTCGGAGACACACTTTTGAAGAACAACTATCCAAGAGGACTTCCTCAAAATTTCAGTCAAATAGGTCAAATTCGCTTTGACATCGGACTCCAAATGTACGGGTAACTGAACGCAAAATCACTTCCGAGAAAAACACAAAAATGTTTCTGACTGAGCAGAAGCGCCTTTGTTGACACAAACCGTATTTTTACTTGCTATTAAAAATAACTATCGAAATTTTTTTTGGGGAAAATCTAAGAATATTACATATTTTATCGTAAAATGTGAATATATAAAAATCGATACTTTTGAGCAATTTTGGGGTACCCTGATACCTTAAATGTCTTGAACTTGCGCAAAAACATAAGTTTAGATAAAACTGCGTTAAATTGAATAAACAATTTCTATTTGAACGCATCTAATTTTATCTTTATTTGAATCTGGGATTCATTTCGATCATAACCATAAAAAAAAATTAATAAATGTGCAGATGATATCTAGGACTTTGATTTTGACAGCTAAAATATATATTTCCTGATTTTAAAGATCCTAATCTTTAACCTAAATGCATGAAAAATCATCAAAAAAACCTTGTAAAAATTGAAATTTCATTAAGAATTCAAGGGGGAAAAAACCAGCTATGAGCAAAAATATATTTTTAGAAAAGTTTGTCCCCGATTCGTAAAAAAAATTCCAAAGCGAATGCGAACTTCTTTTGAAAATTAATCCAAAGAAAAAAGCCCAATGCAGCCGAAAAAAGTTAGAAACAAGGTCTATCGGATGCTAAAACGAAATTTAAAGCTTTTTCCAAATGATTCTTTCAGTTTCTTTCTTTTATTTTGATATCACAATGTTATTATTTTGTTTGCTTTGATGAAGAATACAGAGCACATGCTATCGTCGTGTTCACCAAAAATAGAGTAAAATTATTGCATGTAAGATAAAGTAACTGACTTAAGCGTTTACAAAACTCAAATAAATATTATTGTAAATGCAAGTGTTGTTAATCAGGTGTTTTGGGATCATACACCTTTAAAAACACTAAAAAATTCCGGTGCTTATTGAAGTGAAAAGAAAAAGCTTTCTTGGAAACACGAACAAAATTGCGACAGAACAGCTGTAATTCTTGTTAGTTTATTATTTGATTCACCCTGCTAATAAGTCATAGTTCACGAAACTATGGAAGGTAAATTAAGGAGATTAGAATAAACTTTATCAGATTCACAGGTTAAATTTTGGTCAATTTGTTCGTCTTAACCGCTAATTTGATCAACAAACAATCGGAGTAAAACAGGTTGTAAGTTCTAAACGCATCCTCAGATCGTAGTGTAAAATAATCGAATAATCTCAACGGTTTACTGTATCATGTCAATGAAAAAATTTTACACTGGCATAAGAGAGTAAAGAGAAGGGTATTCAAGGATACTTACAGGTTAGAGGACCATGAACTGAACTACAATTTGGACAATGGTATCGTTCAATGTCTGAAGCTTGATGCTCCTGTATTCCCACACAACTGGAAAAATAAACCCAAAAAATCATTAAAATTAACAGGAACAATGAAATAATGTGAGGAGAGGATAATTACCTTCCATGAAACCATTCCCCACAAGAGTCACAAGCAATCATGAACTGTGAACTGTCGTAAGGTTTTCTACAAATACAATAACGCTCGGGTTTGTCCGCCATCTTGCTTCTTCGTTGACGTATGACGTCACGTCACGCGACCGCTTTTTTCTTGACACACAGGGAACCCAACAGCATTTGTCGGTCACGTATCCGTGTCATACAGGAAAAGACCGTATGTTGGAGCTGAAGGAGGCCAGACGGAGGAACAGGAGAGCTAAACTTACGAAAAGCGGGATAATTTTGGCATGTGTTTTCTCAAGCTGTGATCCTTAGACACTCGTTAATTAAATTTTTCGAATTTTGCAAACGTAAAGATTTCTTTGACTGATTTAACTCTGCAAAGACACACAATATGACACAAGGCTAGATTATTATAGGCCGATCTTTAATATTAATACGTTTTTAGCCGAAAATTAAGAAAAAATTCAAGCTACAAGCAAACCGACTACAGAAATTCGAGAGTAATATGAATGTTTTGGGATGAATTTGTTTTTGAAAAGACTATGACTTACAACGAAATACATCTATGGTCGTGTGACAAGCTTGCCACACAACCATCCTGTATTGCTAATATCAGTCTACGAGGGGGTTCGGAGAACAACATCTCCCCACCAGGTAAGTAACCGTCTGGGGAAATTTCATTCCGTTGTAAATCATACCGCTTTCAAAAAAAAAATTACTTCCAAGATACATATTGAGCATATTACTCTCAAATTTTCAGTAGTTACTAAAAAAGACATTCTCTTTCGATTTCTGTAGTCGGTTTGCTCGTAACTTGAATTTTTAAAATTTTATGCTAATGAGAAAAAAAAAAAAACGTAAGTAAAAGGATCGGCCTATAAAGCTCATCGGCAACCGGAGGGGAAATGTTAGCCAATCAGAATTGAGAAAATGTGCGAAACTGAGTTTCATATTTAAAAAAACCCATACCTTGGGGTCCCTGTGTGAAGCAAGTCGTCATGGATGCAGAAACAACGGCATCTTAATTTTTGCAGTGTCGAGATACAAGCAGATCCGTCACAGTCTGCATCGTTCCGCATTCATTTTTTGATCATGATGGAATAATTTTCTTCTCTGCCATGGTAACGGCTTTCCTTTCTGTATCTTTTTAATAACACTTATAGCCAGTAATTTTTCCATGTTAATCCTAAATTCTTTGTTCATCATAAGCTCGTGGTGTTGTAGCTCCCAAGAGACATTTGTCAAAAAGCTTTAATCTTCAATCACCGCAGTTCTAGGTAATAATTACTCTAGTTAGCTGTACAAAACTACAATATGAGAATGTCAATAATGACAGCAAGAATTCATGTTGTTTTATAAACTCTGTATGAAGTTTAATTGAGAGAAAGTTCTTCTACGAGCTCACAAGAAATGGCGAGAAATATCTTTACTTTCGAGCAAGAAAAATGACGAAAGTTGATCGTGTTTGGGCTGCGTTAGCTATCGTTTTTCTTTTCATTTTTGTGACGAAAGTATACGGTAAGTAAACAATTTTTTATTAGCACATTTTATTCTTATTTGTACAGTTTTCTAAAGACATAATGAGTCGAAGAATACGCCAAATATCAGAAACTTTCTCTACAAAACGTAGTAGTCCAAGTTTGCAAGAAAAGACTATGTTTTAGCCGTGTAATTAATAAGAAAGGCTTTACGAGAGTTATATAATGCAAAGAAAGATTGCCTTTCAGCATGTGTTTTATTACAATGCCGAAAAAGTAAAATGGCACTAGAAAACATCCGATTTAAAATAACATTTTAGTGTTCACTATACAACCGTTTGGAAGTTTGTTTGTAGTCTTTCACTCCGTTCAAATGCAAGCTCGAAGGCAGTATCTTCGTAAATTGTAAAATGGTACTAAGTTTAAGTATTTGTTTGTGCTTGTTTAACGCGTAATGCTTGTTTACACATCTTTCTCTATACATTTCTCTTGGAAAGGCAGAAAAAATCCAAAGTAAAGAAATAAATAGTCACGTTCTGTATTACTTTAGTAATCAATCTTTGAGAATCTTTCAAATCTTTCAATCTTTCAAAAAAGAAAAACTAATTACTCAAAAGACTCTAACACAACCAGAATACTAAAACAACGAAAATCAGCGGCAGCGAAGTTGAATACTAAACAATGAACCACATTGTTGTACCTCATTTCGTACTGTTTATCATTCGCCCTCCCTTCAACGCCCCCTTCTCCAAACCCTCACCTTATTGGTTCAGTAGTAACTTTGGAAAAAGACTCCATGTAATTATCTATTCAATTTTGCTTTGTAAGAAAAAAAAATGAGGCCAGTGCATTTACAATTGCAAAAGGAGGTATTGATAAGCCTATACTTCGATATAAAATTTATTAGAAAGACAAACGAAAATGCCTAGCATGGGACCTAGAGTCCCGTTCGCACTTTCCGCTTTGGGTAGCATGTTGCTCCTGTAATTTTCCTTCTTGATCGATACCCAATAAAAGTTGTACAGATTGCTGCCAACACCAAAAAAAAAAAAAACCTTTATTAAATATTTTTTGCCTTAAACATAATTGATCAATTCGTACTTCGGTGGTGTTCAACTCGTTCTCTACAGTGCGGCTACCAATCGTTGTATTATTTGATAGGTTTAGTCGCACAGGCTCTCTTTCGGACTTTGACTAACTGGCCGCCAACTAGAGGATGGTCGCTTAATAAAGGATGGTTGCTTGATAGAGGTATACTACATAAAAGTGAGAACGTAATATTTTCTTTCTTAGGGCTTGGTCCTCCCGTGTTTGCAGCACTCTCGTACACAGGCACAATCAATGAAAACTCTCCTGCAGATACAACGGTTGCAGGGATTTCCATACTGGCGATTGACCCAGATGGGGATGCAATCTCTTACAGCATTACTAGCTCATCTGGGCCATTTAAATTGAAAAGTGATGGTACAAAAGTGCTTACTAATGGGCAGAGTATTGATTATGAGACTACTAATTCGTATACTTTGACTATACAAGCATCAGCTGCAGGTAAATTGAAATCGCATTCTCTTTCATTTACACTCTCGTCCTCTCTTACAAATCCTCTTTGATATTATTATTTATTCGTCCGCGTCCCTGTCCTCGTCCTCGTCCTCGTCCTCTTCATCATCTTCGTCTTAATCTTCATTCTCATTATCATGATCCTCCTCATCATTATCAAACCCTTTCCTCGATCTTCTCCTTATTCCTCGATCGCCTTTCTTTTAGCCTTCTTCTTCTTCTTCTTCTTCTTCTTTTTCTTCTTCTTCTTTTTCTTTTTTTTCCTCCTCCTCCTCCTCCTCCCCCTAGCTCCTCCTCCTCCTCCTCCTTTTCCTCCTTTGTCTTCCTCCTCCTTCTGCTCTTATTTTCKTTCTCCTCTTCTTCCTCCTCTTTTCCCCCCTCTTAGTCCTCGTTCTTTTTTTCATTCGTCCTTCTCCCCCTTTGTCCCTTGTTTCTTTCTGACTCCCAATATTAAGTGACCGATTTTTTATTCTATTTAAACCAGGTCTCACGGCAACAGTTACAGTAACAATCAATGTTGTCAACGTTAACGAAGCGCCGGCCTTCGATCATTCCACGTACACTGCTAGCATCAGTGAGAACAGCGTCAATGGGACAGACATTATCATGATACCTTCGACAGATGTGGACAGTGGTGACACTCTTGCATACACACTCTTAGGGACAGGTGAGGACTCATATGGTCATTTTACACGACAGTAAAAAAATCAAATAAAAAGGTTTGCGTCAATCACGTAGGGACCTTTTGCATGTTCAGTCTAACGAGCCAGAGGGCTTATCACTAAAGCACGCAGTCGACGCCAGATTAAATTGAAATGTTTATAAGTTGATTTTTGTGAAGGAAAGTAAATCGGAGAAAAAACCTCGAGGTACAGGAGAGAACCAACAAAGCAACTCTAATCCGGTGTGATTGGCTGTTCAGAAATAGTGTTGAAAAGCGCCATTAGCATGCAGCAAGAAAGTATGAAGTACTTCATACTTCTTGCATCCATGCAGCACATACCAGCCATGCATGTCTCTGGACTGGGGGGGGACCAATTTCGGCATCTACTTATACTTTATGCCTCTCGTTATTCTCTCTGTACTTCCTAATATTTCCACTGTACAGCGCCCTTGATTGCATATCACCTGATAATTTAGGTTTTCATTGACTTTTAGGCTCATCAAGTTTTAGTGTACTGAGTACAGGCGTCATAGAAGTTTCAGGGAGTCTTGACTTCGAGTCCAAGTCAACCTACACTCTGACCATCAAGGCTGCAGACACAGCAGGGCTGTTTGTTACTGCAACAGTCATCATCTCAGTGACGGACGTCAATGAAAACCCCACGTTCAGTTCAGCGCCATATTCAGCTACTGTAGCTGAGAATAACGCTGGTGCAAGTGTTGTGACCGTATCTGCTACTGATGTCGATGCAGGTATGTTCACGGACTTCAAGATAAAACCGATCCCGATATCGTGATAATTTATAGCATGTACCTTTTGACGAAGAAGGAATTCAATTCGTCTCACGGATACTGGAACTGAGCACGATCAAAATAAACAACTACCCTGTGGGAATCAAGGAGGGGTGAGGATTATGGGACTACTGACTTTGCATGAAAAAATAATGTTTTTGGTTGTATTAAAAGAGGATAATTTGGAATCCTGGATAATACCAGAGATATCGAGAACCAACAAGGCTCGACTTACCTTAGTTTAGTTTATTCGTCACTATATTTACAAAACAGGTTAAAGTAAACTTAATGTTAGATAATAGCATATACATATACGAAAGAAACATAAATGTAACGAAAGAATAAGATGTAATAATAAAGTGTGCAACATAAGTGTAAAAGAAGAAGAAACGGGACTTGCGTCCCAAATGACTTCTCTGAGATGAATGCTGACTCTTTCGTAATTACACAATAGACTACGCTTTTAACCACTGAGAAACATATATATATTTATCAATAATTTTAAATCTTTCTATTGACTTTATATCTTTAGGTAACACTGTATCTTTCGGTCTGTCTGGATCAGGAAGTTCAGACTTCGTCATCCATGCGACCAGCGGTGTCATCACATTAAGCCAGGCGCTTGACTATGAAAGAAGATCGTCCTACTCTCTAACAGTCGCAGCTTCAGATAGCAACGGAGGCTTGGCTACAACGTCTCTGACAGTCATCGTAGCCAATAGCAACGACTTACCTGTGTCAATTAGTAGTTTGTACGCTGCGACTATAGACGAAGACGTTAGTGTTGGGACGAAAGTGGTTCAAACATCAGCGACAGATCAAGACGGGGATTCGATTACTTACAGCATATCTGGTAGCTCAGACTTTAATATCACAAGCACTGGTATGATCACGACGGCCAAGACCCTGGACTTCGAGACTACATCAAGCTATAGCCTGACAGTTTCCTTCTCCGACAGCGTAGCAACGGTTACTAAGACTGTATCTATCACCGTAGTGAATAAAAACGATGCCCCTAGCTTACCGAGCACTCCGTACACCGCAAGTGTTGCAGAAGATGTGGCAGTTGGTACAACGGTATATAATGTGAGCGCGATCGATGCCGATGCCAATTCAATGGTTTATTCGGTATCTGGTGCTGGTTCGACACATTTTTCTATCAATTCACTGACTGGAGCAGTAACAACAAGTAGAGTATTAAATTACGAGGCTGCGACGTCTTATTCACTAGCAGGTAAGTGGTACATCTTGCTTGTTTTCTTCTTCTTTAGACTTTAGAGATACTGCTGTTGAATTGAATTCATTGAAGGGAATGCGGCGCGTGAAGTAATATTTTGAGAACCCAGTAATTGGACTTGATTTTTATTGATGGAAAACGCAAATACTGGTGAACCAGTAGTTTACATTTCAGCCCGTACTGTACTGCGCATCTAATGTGAAAGCCTCTTGAAAGTTTGCTTTCGGTACCAAAATTGATTTAATTCATGCGGGATTTCAGTGTATTGGGAGGGAAATTAGTATACATAATCAAGGTTTTGCTTTGCGTGATTTTGCTTCTCGTATTCGCCAAAAGGTTTCAATTTCTCTATGATTGAAGAGGGTAGTTCGAGCTCTGTGAACAAGAATAGTCCAAATCAAAAATTATTCAATATGTTGGCGCATGCGTTATGCAACAAAATTCAAGTATCCTTTTTCTTTTTCAGTCAGGGTAACAGAYGGGAATGGCGGAGAAGCAACAACGAGTCTAACAATTACTGTGACTAACACTAACGACTCACCAGCATTTCTTGGGGCACCTTACTCAACAACAGTTGAAGAAAACTTAGTTAGTGGYACCAGTGTATTGAAAATATCTGCTCTCGATGAAGATTCTGGCGATAGCCTTACGTACAGYTTATCAGGTACAAATAATGGACACTTTTCTATTGGTTCGAGCTCTGGATTGATAACAACTGCACAAACTTTGGACTACGAGTCGACGAGCTCATACTCCTTAACTGTATCGATATCCGACGGAACAGCTTCAACTTCAACAACTATTTCCATAACTGTGATCGATAGAAATGATTCGCCGGTGTTCTCAAACTCTCCTTATTCGTCAACCGTSAACGAGAATRCTGCTGGRTCAGCGGTATACACTGTAAGCRCGACTGATGCTGATACTTCTGACACCATTACATACTACTTAAYCGGAACCGGAAGTGCAGATTTTATTGTTAACCCCTCAACCGGTGTGGTCACCCTTACTAGAGCTCTTGATTATGAGAGGTTATCTTCCTATTCTTTGACTGTGTATGCTATTGATGGTCAAGTTGGTGCATCGACRAATCTTAATATCACGGTCAATGATGTGAATGATGCACCAGTGTTTCTGGGCACTGCCTATTCTACTCAAGTCCTAGAGAATCAGTCATCRGGGACAAAGGTTTTGAAAGTAACAGCCAGTGATGAAGACACTTCAGATATCTTGACGTATTCACTGAGTGGTACTAATAATAACCATTTTGCTATTGGTGGATCTACTGGAGTCATAACAACTGCTCAGGTGAGGAAACTGTTATTTTTAATTTCCTTGAAGGGAAAGTTTTCCTCATCATTCCTCTCATGTCTCACCCTGCATAGCTATAGACCTTTCTCATGCGGCAGCCATTATGACTGGGAAAACGATTTTTATCTGTCTTGTGTAGCTTTACWTTCATACATTCTTGGGAACCCAGGGGTAAAGTTTTCGTTTCTCACTTCCTGAAAAAAATTCTGCGGAGCGAGAGAGGAGCGACAGAATCTCACCCCTGGGTTCCCGAGGATGCACATTTACCATGCTGGCTCGAGAAAAAGTCATCGATTGCTCATGCTCCAATGGGTGTCATGGACTAAAATAAGTATGCACTTATTCGCATTCAAACGCTTCAGGATGAGTTTACGCCAGCTGACGCGTGATACAAGTCCAAGCTTTTCTGCATCAAACCACTGATAAGCTACTAGCACTAAGAGGTCATGTGACCATACTCTCCGAGTAGTTGAGTTCTTTATGACAAAACTATTGGGATTAAGGGATATAAGAGTCACGTCGCCTCAAGTTACAAGTTCCCAATTCATTTYTGAAATAAAGTTTGTTCTTTTCTTSGAAMTTAGGTTCTGGATTACGAGTCCGTAAGYTCCTATTCGTTGACGGTTACAGTAAGCGATGGCACYACCTCAGTAACCTCGCCAGTGTCTATCAGCGTTACTAATGGCAACGATTCTCCAACCTTTGTTAGCGCATCTTACAATGTTAGCGTTAATGAGAACGATATCAGCGCGACTGTTTACACAGTTGTTGCTACGGATCAGGATTCTGGTAAGTTGTAGCTGAAAACGTATTTGCTCTTTGTTCTTCGTGACAATTGCGCCGTGTGGCGCTAGTGCAAAACGCTTTCAAATCTAATTTGTTATCTATTCTCTGTTTGCACGTAATGTCACCGGCGCCATAAAATACGTTAGTAGTATTTAACAAACGATTTCACATTAGTTTCGTTTGTCAATACCACCAAAATTGCTGTAACGACTTTGTCTTAAAAAAAGTCGCAAACGATAAAATAGAATAAATGCTTGGACACGTTCGAACTAAGATTAGGAATTGTGCACATTTTGCTGTCAGCAATGTCAAGTTCTTCCGTGTTCGCGCATCTCGATTTATGGCTCGTTCCTTTAAATTGCAAGAAAAMAACGTATAGCATCATATCTCTACGAAAGATGTACGAAACTGCCTGCAATTTCGCATAGGGTTCCCACGTGGCATCAAGGGAAATCCATGTATTCTTGGTGCTTGCATAAAATGAAAGCTAAAGAGCACCATCGGTTTTCAGCAATACCTTGGCGAATATCTTTTAACAAATCATTAACTTGTTTATTTTCTTTCTGACTTCGCAGACACCATAACGTACTCCCTCTCTGGCTCTGGAAGCACTTCATTTTCCATACACTCGACATCAGGTGTGGTTTCACTTGCTTCATCATTAAATTACGAGCAAGTCTCGTTATACACTTTAACAGTTCACGCATCAGATGGACGCGGGGGTACTGCAACAACAAGCCTAACAGTCAACGTACAAGACCAGAACGACCACCCAATCTTCCAGGGTACTCCATATACTACATCCGTTAATGAGAATCTTGCTATTGGAAGCGCTGTCTTTAGAGCAATAGTCAGTGATGAGGATTCAAGCGATAGCCTAACGTACTCTCTGTCTGGTACCAATAGCTCACACTTTCAGATTTCCTCAAGTGGGGTGATTCAAACTGCAGCGGTCCTTGACTTTGAAACAATTAATTCGTATTCTTTGACTATAGCAGTGTCGGATTCGACAATTACAACAAACCAGCAAATGACTGTGAATGTTAATGATGTCAATGATAGCCCAGTTTTGACTAATGGTCCTTATACAGTGTCAGTAGAAGAGAACAATGCTACAGCTTCTGTTTATACAGTTACAGCAACAGATGCTGATAATGGTACTCTAAGGTATTACCTAACGGGTCCTGGAAGTGATWTRTTCTTGTTGAACTACCTGACTGGCCTTGTTACCCTGACGCAAGCATTGGACTACGAATCAAAGRCRTCTTACRCTCTTTCAGTTCTTGTTTTTGATGGTAACGRTGGATCCAACGCGACCACGTTGACARTCAATGTTGTCAATCAAAATGACCCCCCATCGTTCCTYAATACTCCATTCAGTGTGTCTATAAATGAAGACACTGTGTCTGGGAGTAGAGTGATCCAAACTTCTGCATCAGATCAGGATTCTTCTGATACACTAACTTACTCTATTAGTGGATCCAATAACGGACACTTCAGTATCTCCAACACCGGCATAATTAGCACATCCCAAGCACTTGACTTTGAAAGTATCAACTCGTACTCACTTACAGTCAACGTCAACGATGGAACAGTAACTACATCGACTCCATTGACTATAAGTATCAATAACATTAATGATGTTCCAGTCTTCAGTGCCGCACCTTATAATGTCTCTATTAACGAAAACACCACTTCTTCTACAAGTATCTTACAAGCCTYGGCCACAGACCAAGATGGCGACACGTTGATATTTTCGTTTATAGGAATGACGAGTTCTGATTTTACTATTCATAGCAGTACTGGAGTTATAAGTACGGCTGTAAAATTAAACTACGAAAAGACAGCGTCATATACTCTCAACGTCCAAGTTGACGACGGAAAGAGCGGAAAAAYCTCAACTACGGCTTCCATATATCTCGTAGACCTCAACGACGAGGTTCCCATATTTGGAAGCGCGGTTTATAATGGTCACGTGACAGAAAACGCGGCAACAGGCACTTCGGTAATGGTTGTCACGGCCACAGATCAAGATTCMATTGACAGCACGCTGACCTACAGTCTTGCTGGCTCAGATAGTACGCACTTTTCAATCAGTAGCAGTGGTTTGATTCAAACTGCGTCTGCAATCGATCATGAATCAATACAAAGCTACTCTCTGACCTTGACCGCCACTGACAATAGCGGGAATACTGGAACAACAACTGTAATCATCTCCGTAGTCAATGCAATCGATAACTATCCGGTATTCGATAAAGCATCGTATGGTGCGAATGTTTCCGAAGACAGTAGCCCAGGGACGAGCGTGTTACGAGTCACGGCGACTGATGCAGATTCTGGAGATAAGGTTATCTACAGTATTTCAGGTACTAAGCCACATTACATTATATAACCCCACGTTTGTATTAAGTTATTTTAATCATGGCTTTTATCGATCTTAGTATGCCCTAAAGATGTAGCCCCTTACCCTAATTATGTTTTATATCTAAACTCTCACATTCCTAAATGTCAAAAATATTTTAAGAATATCAAGACAATAGTAAAAAAATAGCAAAAAATAAAAATATGGTACGTCGTTATTCTTGAGGCCTAAAGACCCCTTCTAGTACGTTGGAAGGCAGCTCAATTTGGAGGACATAACAATAGGTTTGCAATTCTCAGGAGATTGAAAATAATTTTGTTTTGTCCTCCAAATTGAGCTCCTTTGACGTCACATGTAAGGCTTTAATAAGATAATTTACAGTAGGACTTTTATTAAACGGCCACCCTTGGGGAATTGTCAAGCGGCTACAAAAAAGGTTGGTCGCTGAATATAGATTGCCTTTAGTAGTAGTTTCTATTGYGTATTGAATCTTTCTTCCAGGCGCAGACAGCTCCAATTTCACCATCAATGAGAACACCGGGGTCATATTCACAAATGTAGGCCTTAATCGAGAAGCAAAAGATTCCTACGTATTTACTATGACTGCTACAGATAAGGGTTCTCAGTCCTCCACAGCTACCGTTACCATAGCAATAACGGATAAAAATGACAACAGTCCAGTGTGTAGCCAGGCTGTTTATACTGCTTCTGTATCAGAGAATGCGACCACTGGTTTATCTGTGATAACAGTTTCATGTCCAGATATTGATGCTAATAATAACGGCCAGGTTAGTGCAACTCTATCGTACGTACCCATGCGCCTCTATTGCTTATTTTTGTTCAATCACTAACAGTTATCCCTTATCAATACTGATCATCATCATTACCATCATCATCAACACCATCATCATAACTACCACATTTATCTTTATCATCATCACCGTCATCATCATGACCACCACTAGCAGAGACCTCCACGACTTCGGCCGGCACAACCAGCACCATCATCACTAACACCATCAACACCACCACCACCAGAATTAACTCTATTTCCAACATCGCGGTTATAACATCATCATCATCATCATCATTATCATCATCACCATCATCTTCATAATTATCATCATCATCACCATCATCATTATCTTCATAATCATCATCGCACCGTCACAATTGGCGCATGGTGGTCTAATCTCATCCCTTTTGTTATCCATCAGGTAACTTACAGCATAGCATCAGGAGATGGYGGAAAGTTTACGATTGATTCAAACACTGGAGTCRTTAGCACCTCAGCTGCGCTTGACTATGAGTCCACGTCTTTCTATACAATCAACATCCAAGCCAGTGACACAGGAAGCCCACCAAAGCAGACTACCACATCTGTTATCATTGACATTCAAGGGATCAATGAACACGCACCTTCATTCATCCCAAACAACACATRTCAACTATCATTGGTCGAGGACATCTCAATTGGACATGACGTCATAACAGTGTCGGCGAATGACGCAGATGGRGGAATACAAGGCCAGGTCACTTATGCAATCACTAGCGGAAATACATACGGGAACTTTGCAATCGATAGGACAAATGGACTGATAGAAATTCGCAAAAACTTAGATTATGAAACTACTTCACAAATACAACTGACAGTTGTTGCCACAGATGGAGATACCGGAAGCCCTTTAAGTGCTACGGCAACTGTYGTAGTCAACATCGTTGACAGTAATGACAACTCTCCCGTATGTAGCCCTAGTTTATTGACGCCTGCAGTTCTAGAGTCAGCGGTGCCTGGGAGTGCGGTTGTGACGTTGAACTGCAGTGATGCTGACGAAGGGTCCAATGCTGAGCTATCCTATACTATTACGAATGGAAATTCTGCTGGTATGGAACGCATATAGAGAGGCTAGAAAAGACCTAATAAGATGTGACTTATTGATTTTTCAAAAACGAGCTCTTAGATAGATCGATATTCAATCTAAGTTCAACTCAATTTGTATTCTTTTTATCTCTAACGTTGCTATATAGACTAGTGATTCACTTGAAAACAAGGGACTATGGCATCACAGGTTTTAAAACAACTTCACTTCACCAAGCCCCAACCCATGATAATAAGTGAAAAAAAACTTTTTTTTACTTTAATTGGCAAGAACTTGAAATACCTTACACACAATGCGTAGTGCCGATAATGATTAAGTGCCTTGCACAAATTTGCAAATATTCCCTATAATCACAGGCTGTTTTTGCTTTATTTCGTAGGTACATTTAACATCTCCAGCAGTGGTTACATCAGCACGGTGCTGCCTCTGGACTACGAATCCACYCAGACATACTCACTAACAGTTACTGTCACAGATAAGGGAATCGCTCCAAAGTCTTCCCAAGTTACAGTCATAATAGCCATCTCTCCAGTCAATGAACATACACCAGTATTCACAAGCAGTGGRWCTTATTCGGTCTCAGTTGCAGAGGATAGTATCGCGGGCTCAGAGCTCATCAGGGTAACTGCCAATGACGCAGACAGCTCGAATACCGCTCACGGGATCGTATCCTATGCCATCTTAAGCGGAAATGATGGGAATATATTTCATATTACTCCAGACAGTGGAGCGATTTCAATAATGAGATCTCTAGATAGAGAGAGTGCGTCGTCCTATTCACTGGTAGCCAAAGCAACGGATGGTACAAACGAAGCAAATGCTACAGTGTTGATAACTGTGTCAGATGTTAATGACAATYATCCGGTGTGTAGCCCAACGTTTTATGCGGCAAGCATCAGTGAAGATGCAGTGGTTGGTTCGAGTGTTGTACAGGTTACGTGTATTGACAGCGATGAAGGAATCAACGGCTTGTTGGTGTTCAGGTACAGAGTAGATATTTRAAAAGAAATTTAAGACGACTTGTTTTTGAATGACTTCTGGATCCAAAATAAACTAAAATCTTTTTAAATTCAAATATAGCTTACAGTAAGATTATTGTAAATGGGGAAAACAATGTTTGCACTCTTTATGCAGAACTCATTCCGGATAAAGCATAATTTCGAAACAAGCTCAAGAAGTTTTTTTACTGCTTTTACGTTTATTACCGACGTCTGTATTGCTACGCGGCCACCCCAGACAAAAATCGCGACGTTCACTTTGCAATAGACTGCCGTCAATCAAACACGTTGGCATCATTTACACCCGTGTGTGATTCAAAAGTCKCCAAAACTTGTCTATTGTTTACAATGTTTATTATGAGCCACACTCAACGTGTTTGATTGACGGCAGTCTATTGCAAAGTGCACGTCGAGATTTTTGTCTGGGGTGGCCGCGTAGCAATACAAATGGCTGTAACCATGTTTGCTTCATTTTTTTAGCATTATTTGTGGTAACACAAATACTGATCTATCAGTGGATGCTAATGGTACTATTCGAACAGCACGTRCTTTGGATTATGAAACAACGCCTTCTTACGTCATAACTATCAAGTCACGTGACTCAAGCAGTCCCAGCAGCACACAGAAATCCGTAACAGTGGAGGTTACCATTGACGTCATGCCTGTGAATGAGCATGCGCCAGTTTTTACATCCCCGAGTTACGCGTATAGCGTTCAAGAGGACACAGCCATTGGGACGTCATTGCTTAGGGTCACCGCCACTGATGCGGATGATGGACTGCAAGGTAAATCTTTTACATAGATTTTGACATCATATGTTTTATTTTGCTGTAAAGACACAGTCGTCGAGAATGGTAACAGAAAAAAATCTACATTAAGAAATTGTTCAGTTTGTTTGGGTTTTGTATTCAATTTTCACAATTGTAGTCCMCATATATTGGATAATTTCTGTCCTCCAAGATGACTGTCATATCTTTTGTTACTTCACATGAGCACCCCCAAGAATATGCAAGGTCATACAAAACATCGATATTTCGTTGAGTATAGCATGTAATGTGTATTCTATCTGTTATAGGCGAGATATCCTACTCCCTGTTACCATTATCAGCACCATTCTACATCGACACATCAAGTGGTATCATACGCATCAAGAACAAACTTGATCGGGAAACCAGCGCATCATCAACACTGACGGTCACTGCTCATGACAGCGATCCAGTAACCRCTGATCRGCGATCAACTAACGTCAGTGTTGTGGTGACAGTTACAGATGTGAATGATAATGTACCGGTATTCTCACCAAGTCATTACAAGGTTCGTTTACATTCTCTAGGGGCTTGCACCATCACAACGATCAYAGAAGGCAGGAACAATTGAATCTGGTCTAATCTAGTTGGCATGAAAAATAACTCAGATTGCCAGGGGAAAGAGGCTCTATTTTTGTGCTCCATGTCAGAATGCCATCAAGTGATGGCGCAAAGTCTCTCTCTTTTTATATATTCAATTGAAGAATCGTTGTCGGGTTCAGAATAATAGAACATACAAGCTGAGACTGAAGTGGCACATGGGAAGTACGCTAATTAGATGCATGCTGTGACCGGCGACCCGTGGCATCATCCACTGTTTTTGATACGCGTTTGGCATTCTAAACCGACTGCATGGATGGCGCAAATGAATAAATTATAATATRATTATGTCATTTCCCATGTGCCATTTCGGTCTCAGCTTTTATGTTCTATGTTTTTGAACCCGACAACGRTTCTTCAATTGAGTGTATATATTAACTCATAAGAAATATAAAGTATAAAATAGACCTTTTTAGCTTTGCAAATTGTTCATTTCAGATCACATGACATTCCCTTGAGAATKTTTTAGTGGCGAACGTGTTAAAACATTTACACATGAAAGAATTACCTCCCAAGAGTGGCATCACGTGGTATAGAATGTGCACAACAAACAACGAAGCTAAAAAGGTCCATTTTATTCTGTTAAAAAAATGTTTTTTTTTTTACCTAATAAAGGTGACTGTTGCTGAAAATACCACCGTTGGCACCAGTATCTCTCAACTACATTGCACTGATAGTGACCTGGGCACTAATGGGAATCTCGTGTACAGCATATCAGAAGGGGATCCTGGTGGTTACTTCAACGTCTCATCCAATGGAAKTGTTACAACTATTAAACAACTAGACTACGAGACACTACAGTCTTATGCCTTAACGGTTCAAGCACGTGACAGTAGTTTACCAATTAGCGCGCAACTTGTCTCTGAAACTCATCTTGACGTCATAGTCGGGGCTATCAATGAGCATGCGCCTGTTTTTAGCCAATCAGATTACAAGGYTACGATAAGTGAGAACAGTACTATCGGGACTTCTTTGCTGGATGTCGATGCGACCGACAGCGATTTGGGACCTCAAGGTACAATCTCATTCTCGATATCAAGTGGATCTCCTTTCTACATCGATGGAAACTCTGGCATTATTTTCTTGAAAGAACCGCTGGATTACGAGACTGTGGCTTCGTATTCCCTGGTAATTACAGCTACTGATAGTGATACAGATTCTCCCAAAGCTTCAACAGTGAATGCAACCATTCTGATAAATGATGAGAATGATAACGCTCCTACATTCACACCATCAGTATATAGTGTTACGATAGCAGAGAACGCTACGGTTGGTACTAGTGTGTTATCTCTGACATGCGCAGATGCTGACTCGGGAACCAATGGACAATACAACATGGCGATCGTTTCTGGTTAGTGTTCTTAAACACACATTCCTCTAAAAATCGATCAAAGCTAATAATTGGCTGACCAGGACAAAGGGGGTTGGGAGGGGGAGGGRTTGTTCCAAGGGACAAGATCACAGCCATATACAGCAAATATTCATTTCTTTCTTTAGTTTTCTCCATTTTGTGTATGTCCTAGAGTAGCGGATTTTGCATGAGTACGAAACGGGAAACGTACGTACGGTGCTGGCTTTCAGCAAGCACAAAGTACGAGATRACTTGAAGTAACTTCCGAAATGGCTTCTCGTTGCCAGTTCCAATAGCTCCTCCAACCATAGCACGTAGTTACAGCTACGGTAACATACTTACGATTACAGTACGAAAGCCGCTCTATAGTGAAATATTCAGCTCCCTTTCGACTTAAACTTCCTGGATATTTCATCCAAGTCATTCATTGTATCTACACAATATTTACTGYTCGACTTTTTTGGCCCGTTTTCTCTTTCTTTTGCTTGTTTTTGCTCTTGTTTTTCTTGTTMTTCCTTTATTTCTTGTAAATGCTAAAATAGATGGATTACAGAGAATTATAGTGCTAATTCCAAACTTCTCTACCCTTCCATCCAGGTAACACTGGTACTGGATTCTCTATTAATAATGCTGGTGTGGTTACTGTGGCAACGAGCCTCGATATGGAGACCACCCAATCGTATTCCTTGGTAATCACAGCCACAGATCAGAACACGTTTACTAAACTCACTGGAACAGCAAAAGTATTTGTTACGATCACAGGTGAGGAATTTGTAATACCGAGTTTGACTGATTGTAAAAATGATTGCGCAAGCTTCATACAGCTATTTAAAAAAGAGGGTTTGCTAAGGTATTGTTGCACAATTAAAGATAATGAGTCAATTACTATAATTTGGAAACAAAAGTTGGCGACGTTTCGACTAGAGCCCCAGGTCTTCATGCGAGCTTGGTCACGTCTGGTCTTGTTTGGTCACGTGATGGTTGTACACGGCTTGACAACCGGCGAGGAATATCCCTTAGGATATGAACGTTCCACGTGTAACGTGCAACGTGCAACATGCAACATGCAACATGCAACATGCAACATGCAACATGCAACATGCAACATGCAAAATGCAACCAAAACCTTTACCAACCTTCTTTGAATTAGCTGTAGACCACTTTATCTTAGGCATAATATTTTCCCCTGTTTCAGTTGTATCCATATTCACTTGCCTTATCATGCGCAATCGTTAAAAAAAAAACCKCTAGAGAATGACATCCCTCATTTGAAATGGGAAAACAATGACGGTCAATGTAAAAGGGACTATTGAGAACGACTTTAAAGCGTAAATATAAAGGAACACCCAAGGAAAACGATTGAGAGACTGGCTTTTCTTATCTCTTGTGAATAGTTAATCTTTTCTTTCTTCACAGACATAAATGAGCWCACTCCGATATTCACCAATGGAGGTTCATATACAGCCTCTATATCAGAAAACTTATCAATAGGCTCCCTCGTCACCAACGTCTCCGCTACAGACAATGACCACGGGCAGAAATACGGCGTGGTTACCTACAATATCACTTCTGGTAATAAAGAAGACAACTTCGTCATCAGGCCTCTAGACGGTGCTGTGTTTGTGAAAAAGGCACTCGATAGAGAATCCATAGCTTCTTACACTCTACAGATCAAAGCCACTGATCAAGATCCAGTTTCTCCTAAATCATCCATAGCAACTTTATTGATAACTGTCTTAGATGAGAACGACAACGCTCCTCTGTGTAACCCGACGATATATAGCAAGTCCATAGCAGAAGACGTTGCCATAGGAACGCAAGTGGCTCAGATCACGTGCACAGATAATGACGTATCACCGAATATCATTACGTCATATGTTATAACATCAGGTATTGGGTTCACTTTATAATACYAAATGTAAGGATATGAAGCTTCTTTTAGTTAAAATATCCGGGTTTTTAGTAAAAAATATGCGGGCTAAATTGCATGCGTGAGAGCACTCACCACATGAGAGTAGAGCTCTTTAGGTAACTCCGTTGATTAGAGGGGTTTTCTCCAAATTCTATTAGTAGTTTTCCTTCCATTTTTGAAACAGAACAGACTAAAATATAATTCCATCCGTAAGCTGGTCGACGTGCCCTGAGTTTGATCAGCAAGTTGTTTCAGCGTATAGAAATACGTACATTTGAAATGTTTTGTTAGGTAACTAGTTAATCAKGAATTGAACTTCAGAGAACAGCAGCTATATTATTGGGCAAACAACTTAAATAGTTCTATTCACAGTTCCCTAGCCTCGTTCYGAAACAAAATCTTATCCCTTGGCCTTACATAAATGTTTAACTYGTAAATCATTATATGCCTTTTATGTAAAAGTTCCCTTCACAGTTCCCTGCGCCATCTTAAAAGGTAGCCGTGCCTTTGCATCGAGCGAGACGAAAGTTGAGCTTGCAACGATAGAGRCATGCGAATAACTGTTTAAGATGTCAAAAAAGGTCTCTATCATTGCAAGGTCAGCGCTGTTYTTTCTTCTATGCACAGGCACGGTTACCTTTCAAGATGGCGCAGTTAACTGTGAAGAGGACATTGTATTATAATATGGCTGCCCTGATGCACGCTATATATACTAGACACAGGTATTTTCCATGACTTTAGGAAACTCAACGCTTTTTCAAGTTTCCGCTTCTGGGCTTGTGACGACAGCAGGTGCCTTGGATTACGAATCAGTCAAGGAATATGTTCTAGTAATCACCGTCACAGATGGAGGAACGATTACTAAGTCAAGTCAAGTCACTATTAGTGTTCAAGTTTCTGGTACCAATGAGCATGCGCCAGTATTTGGAAGTTCGCTTTACAGTGTCAGTCATTTAGAGGTGGGTGCAATTACCCTGTTACGGTTGTTGGTTCAAATTTGTTATCGATATATGATCATGAGTAGAGTTGAGTTACTGGCTTTCTATTGCGCATAGTAGTCCGAAATGGGAGAACATTACGCCCATGCTAAAAGTTTTATCAAAGATACTGTTTGACTATTGAATGTGTTTTGTTATTACTCATAGAATTCTGCAATTGGCTCAACCATAGCAACAGTTGTAGCTACAGATCAAGACCATGGTGGTGATGGATCATTCTCTTTCTTTATCTATTCCGGAAATGACGAGGGTCGCTTCCTCATCGATTCTTCTTCCGGTGAAATAGAACTGAAAAGACCTTTTGATAGAGAATCGTTGGACTTCTACAATATTACAATCGGCGCAGTGGATTATGGCACTCCAAATAAAACAAGTGTCACAACAGTTAGTGTTASTGTATTGGATATCAACGATAATGCACCTAATTGTAGCCAATTAGCGTACGTTCTTCAAGTGCCTGAGAATAAGACTATCAATAGTACTATAGTTAGTCTGGAATGCATTGACTTTGACAAGGATTATAACTCTCTGATAACGTACAGCATTATTTCAGGTAAACATTTTAGTCTTTCTTTGACAATCTTTTTGAAAAAAAAAAAAGGTTTTTGTTGAAGTATTCCTCGTTGTATTTTTAAAAGTGTATTGTATCGTTTAGCTTAACGTCTATTGTTAGAGGCATTGTTTCTCCTGTGGATTATCTAGTCTATGCAGGATGATAATCTGCTAGCAAAGCATGGCATGAAGAAGCTACATGACGCTTTTCTAGCAGAGTATGCATATCCTGCAAGGAACAAGAGCCCATCCAATTACATTCATAATTATACAGCTTCTCATTAATCCCATATAGGTAACTGTCCAATTATTTTCTTAATTGGACAGGTCTTGTTGATATGGGATTAATTAGGCAGCTATATAATTAATAGGTAATGGGATTTCATGCTCCCCAATCAAGAAATAATTAGACTCGAAAAATTCCTCTGACTGCCAAATTGGACTCGGCCTAAGGCCTCATCAAATTTTGTCAGTCCTCGGAATTTTCCTCGTCCAATTATTTCTTAATTGGACAGCATGCAGGGAGTCCTATTACATATACTAATTTTTTCTTTCAGTCCTTTGTAGTTACTTACCGATTTTTATTATTACATAATGTATAGGAAATACCAACTCTGATTTCGCCATCAACAACGCCACAGGAGTCGTAACACTCGCAAATTCCTTAAACCGAGAATCCATTGTCTACTACGACGTCATCGTTGTTGTGCGTGATAATGGATCTCCTTCTCTCAGCACCCAAGTGTCGGTCAGCATAGAAGTAACAGCAATCAATGAGTACACGCCTACCTTTACCAACAATGGATTTTACAATATAACACTAAATGAARATGTTGCAGTAGGGACGACTGTCTTGATTGCGCATGCGCATGACAGCGACAGTGGTAACCAAGGTCACGTAGTATATAATAAAATAAGTGGTGACGTGGATGGTACGTTTCTGCTTGATTTTAAAACTGGAGAGATTGTGCTTAAGAAAACTTTGAATTTCGAGAAACGGTCTTTTTATAGCTTGGTTATCAGAGCAACTGATAGTGCTTCAGGGTCGAACGTGGCAAAATCTAGCGACGCGGTGGTTAATATTACAATAAACGATGTTAACGATAACACTCCTTTCTGCTATGAGAACTTTAAAGTCATTCAAATACTGGAATCGGCTGTTGCTGGTACGACTGTCTTCAGGGCAAACTGTACAGACTTAGATTCAGCAGACAGCGGCTCACTRAGCTATCAAATTGTAACAGGGAATGACGACATGAAATTTAACGTGACGTCAACAGGTGACATCATGTTAATCAGCCCACTGAGTTTTGAGGTGACGTCRATGTATAACCTTATTGTAGCCGTCAGCGATGCTGGGATACCGTCCAAATCGACCAATATATCTTTGACTATTGATATTCAGCCTGTTAATGAGTTTGTACCGACCTTTGCTCAGGGAAATTATTATCAATTGGATGTACTGGAGAATATAACCTTAGGTAAGTRAACTCGTATGTCTAGAAATGAAGTGCTGTAGGTGCGTTGCATTAGTAGCGCACACCAACCATGCCTCCCTAAATGCACCAAAAGCATATAATGGGGCAGTTTTCGTATATGAATGTGGAAAGCTCGGTGCCTTAAGCGTGTCCTATGGTTACCGTGATGTTTTCTAAAATTGTAATAGGCTGATTTTTTTCTCGCGCAATGTGATTGGTCTGGCAGTGCCTTGACCTTGGCGTGACCGAGAACGCGCCGTGTTTATGCCGTGGTCGAATTGATTGGATGGCGAGTAAATTCTCGCGAAATGTGTTCTGTCTGGCGTATCCTTTACGGTGCCACGACTGCGTACCTTTACTTTATTTTACAGGAACAGTTATTTTTAAAGCTCAAGTGCAAGATAACGACAAGGGTATTCATGGCTCCTTCAAATACAAACTAGAAACTGGAAACGAACAGGGGAAGTTCTACCTTGATCCAGTCAGCGGTCGCTTGATATTGGTATCACAACTGGACACAGAAACATTGGATCATTATAACATTACGATTGTAGTACAAGATGGCGCACTTCAAGAATCAGACATAAAGCGTTCAAATGTAACGGTTTATATTAAGGTGTTGGATGTGAACGACAATGAACCACAATGCACGCCAAGTCTGTACTCTGTTGAGTTATCAGAAAGTAAGAATTGATATTGTCGAATTTTAGTTTCGATTCCTGGACTGGACCTTTCTCAAAATTAATGTGAAGAGAAATCAGACTTTTTCTCGATGAAATTTGTGGCATTGCTTTGTATGTACATGTTTTTTGGATGCGTGGCATTCAAGACAATTTTGAGAAAGGTCCAATTGGACCTTGATTCATAAACACATAGCGGAAGCCATGTTGGATGGCAGAGACATTGTAATACTTTGTAAAACAGAAAATCAAAATTCTAAAAAAAGATAGATATTTCAGTATTTTGTCATTGCAAATGGCTGCCGTCATGCAGTCGTCAAAAGGTTATATGAAATCGAAAGAGAAAAAAATGTTTTTTACTGGGTTAATTCACTTCTCTGCTTTCACTGTATACTTAGTTCAGGGCAGATGTTTTGTTTTAAAAATGCTATTCCGAATTCTTTAAAATAAAGGTCTTTATTCATTTACTAATTGGTTACTCAATTTTAGGTATCACAGTTGGATCTAACATCACCACTATCATCTGCACTGACCAAGACGCACTGGGACCCAACAGTCAACTCACGTACACATTCGACAGCGGGAATACTGGGAACCACTTCAGATTACAAAACAACACAGTCATAGTTGCAAGTAGCCTTGACCATGAAACGTATAAAGAGTATAGTCTTGTCGTCAATGTATCTGATGGAGGATCACCTGCCTACGTCACTGTTGTCATGGTGACTGTCTACGTAAGACCGGAGAATGATTACGCGCCATTGTTTCAATACTCGAATTACTCTACGAATATTTCAGAATGGACTGCAATAGGTAACATATATTAAGTACTGTTTAATAAACGAGCAGGAGTGTTTTATCGGGTATAAAACACGAGGCGCAGCCGAGTGGTTTTAGACCCGATAAAACACGATCTGCGAGTTTATTAAACGGCTTAAAAAACTCCTGATGTATGTTCTCATATGGTACCGAATTCTTTACGAAATGAACCAAGTTTGATAGAGAAAATCCAAGTTAAAGTTTATGCAAATGAAGACGAATCTATATCAGATATAAAACCTCCTTCATGGTCATGATTTCTATTGTGTTTCCTTCATGAATTATTAATGAGTGTTTTAATATCATTTATTAGTATTTTTATAATTCATTAATGTAATGAAGCATGAATAATGTTGAAAATGGCWATAGATATTGTGCAGCAATGAAAAAGTAACGTTATTGCATTATAAAATCGAATTTGTTTAGCCAATCACAGCGCGCAAACTCTGGAACATTACGGCACTGTTGTTACAAAGGCCGTTTAGCCTGCAGTAATGTTTTCCYAACCATCTCCCAAGGTCTGTATCTCCAGTTTCTCCATTGATGAATAAAAACTATTATTTTTTGGGACTTTTTATAATGATTGACATTGAACATTGTAGGCACGAAGATATTGGACATAAACGCTACTGACGCAGATAGAGGTATCCATGGCAACCTTGAGTATTACATCACTTCCGGTTTAAATGGAGGGATTGACTTTATGTTAGACAAGGTAACAGGTGTTATTGAGGTTGGATCTCCACTGGACCGTGAGACGCGGGATACCTATGTTCTGAATATTACAGTTAAAGACAAGGGGTTCAACGAACAAGAAAGGTTATCCCAAGTGATCTTGGTGAGTAGAGCTTACAAGTTTTATTCATGATCGTATAATGTAAATTAGCTGTAGATTTGAAAGTGTGGTTGCCAAAATAGACCCAATTCACAAAAGGTGGGGGGATCAGAGAAACCGGGAAAAAAAATAAAAAAATAAAAATGGTTTTACAAGCAAATTACCTGACTGGGAACTTCTTTGCTTTTAAAAAAAGTTTTTTCTCCGTTTTTTCTCCTTGTTTTCTCCTTTTGCAAAATTGAACTCCTAATCATTGCTTGCCCTCCTGGTTGCGCTGCTTTGGTGCTGATGCAACGGGCCTACATGGTATATGTTCAGATCATAATTTGTATTTTTATATTTCTATATTAGTTTGTAATGCGCGTATGAGCATCTTCCTATGTAACACGCGCAATATAAGTATTGAATTATTATTATTATTATTATTATTATTATCATTAATTCAGTAGATGAAGATCTACTCTGTAGAAATATTATACTGTAAATTCCTTTTTTTTTTACTCATATAGGCAATATTCCAATAACTTGCGCAAAGTGGCCCTTAATACACTGTGCCGCGGTGAACATGCTGATGGTCTGGAATGATTTCAGACATTATACTTAGTACTCAAGGGGGTCAGAACCTGATGCTTTTGTTGTTTTACTGCAGGTTACTATACTAATAACTGATGAAAACGACAACCCGCCGATCTTTACCAATGAYATCTACACTACCACAATACCAGAGGACATCCCTGTTGGCAACTCCGTTGCCAAGGTTACCACTACAGATGCGGATATTGGTAATAACTCAGTACACACGTATTCTATAACAGGTAAGTTTTTTTTACAGTTATGACTTTATTTCACTTTTTGCTTTCAAATTGTATTTGATAACCATSTAGGGAATTACGTGTTATAGTGGCCTAGCTTTATTTCTTTCACCTATCAATTTTAGGGTCCCGGGCTGGATTCCTGAACTCGGGAACACAGTTTCCGAGTTTGCTAGGTATTTCCCTTGATCTAAGAGTTTTTCTTCGGGTTAAACAGTTTTCCTCTTTACATAAAAGCCAACGCCCTCAATTCCAATTCGATGTGTGAGTTATCCAAGCCCTGACACGTTAGTCAGCCTAAAGGTTATTGTTAATTTTTTTGAGTAAGAAATTCTAGGAAACTCGGCTTGTAGCTTAAAGTTATTGGATATGTCCCTCCTATTACTTATACGTAAATCCCGTGTCATTCCCTTGATAATAAGATCCTTTATTTGAGTCGTATCCATATTCACTGTCTTTTCATGTGCAACTGTTAAACAAAGAAATAATACTCTAGAAAATAAAACGTGGTCCGAAATGAGAAAAAAAATACGGATTGTGGATTTGTCTATTGACTGATTTTTCATATCGATATTTGATTCCAGGAGGWGATGGTGTAGGGAAATTCTCCATCGTCCAATCAACAGGCATCATTACTGCATTACCAGGTCTGGATTACGAGACCAAAGCAACATATTACCTGTCAATCACAGCACRAGATGGAGGCTCGCCCCAGCTCTACTCGGTTGCAGGAGTACGCATTTCCCTTTCAGATGTAAATGACAACGAACCAGTTTTTAGTCCTACACTTTATCTTACAAGCATTCTCGAAACTACTTCTGCCGGAAGTGATGTCATACCAGTTTATGCTAATGACATAGATACGGGGTCTAATGCAAAAATATTGTACTCGGTGGTTGGAGGCGATCCTAAGAATCAGTTTGATGTTGTGAATAACACTGGAATGATACGAACAAAAAAKAACCTTGATCGTGAAGACATCTCGTCTTACGAGCTTGTTATACAGGCGAAAGACACAGGWATCCCATCTCTTACTGAGACGGTAACAGTTMACATAACCATACTAGATGTCAATGACAACAACCCGGTCTTTGGGAGCTCATCGTACACTGTAGCGGTAGCAGAAGATGCACCCATAGGGTTCAACTTTTTGAACATTTCCGCAACAGACGCTGATAGTGGACAGAACGCTAAGATAACGTRTTCTATTGTCAGTGGTAATACAGGAAACAAGATAGCTATCGATCCAAGCAAAGGAGTCATGTCTAATACAGGTGAATAGATTTAGATACAACAGATTTCCAAACTATGCGTGCAGTACTGTACATATTGAATAGATTCAGACCTTTACCCATGCCACCTTCACCGTGGTTTCGATGATTACGGAAAATATTAGTCCCGTCTCATTTAGAGACGTTAAACACCTAGGACCACAAGTTTATCAATAGCGATTGTTCCGAGTCATCCTCTTTAAATAAAATTGACTCAATTTGCCATTTTTTTATGAAACTAAGACTAAGGCCAGAAATCGAACTTCACATGAGCCGAACCTAATGACTTCAAAAAAGATGCCTTGTTATCCATTGTTTTCAATTATGTTCGGCCCATGTGTAGTTCGAGGTTTGACCTTGTGTGGGAGCATTACTTGCTCAATRATATGAATGGATTATTAATCTTATTATCATGTATTATTATAGGATTATTTGACAGAGAAAATATAGCAAGCTACCAACTGACCATCAAAGCAGAAGACTCAGGGACACCTCCAAAGTATTCAACTACAAACGTCCATGTACGTATTGTAGACCGTAACGATAACACACCATCATTCACAGACACAGACTACAGCTTTGCAGTAACAGAAAACCAAAATATCRGGCTTTTTATTGGTGAAGTCCAAGCCACAGATGTTGATAATGGCACGCATGCGCAGCTGGTGTATAGTATTGAGCCTGGTACCCATAGCAACCATTTTACTATTAATCCACTCAATGGCCGAATGTATACAGCGATATCTCTGGACAGAGAGTCTGTGTCTTTCTATCGATTAAAAGTGAAAGTCATGGACTCGGCCACTTACCCCAACCAGCTATACAATATAACAACAGTTTCGATAACTGTTTTGGACTTGAACGATAACGCACCCGAATTCCCTAAATCGTTGGATAACGCTTCAGTGGCAGAGAACTCGCCATCCGGGACATTGGTTACCAGGGTGACAGCGACAGACAGAGACCATGATGCTAATGCACGGGTGAAATACAGTCTCTCGCAYGACAACCCAAGTGTAGAGTACTTTAGAATAGATTCATCGTCCGGAGAGTTGTTAGTTAATAGTGCACTGGACTATGAGATCAAACAAGCAATCGAACTTACTATTACTGCAAAGGATGATGGGTATCCATCGATGTCAGGAACAAYGAGGCTAAGGATAGATGTGATTGATGTCAATGATAATGCACCTGTGTTAAGTGCAAGTAAGTATCAAAATTCACACGATTACCACTATTCCAATYCCTAAGCGGCCACCGGTACGTGCCAAAGAACCTTTGCAGTCGTTACCTTATCTAAACCTTATCTAAGCAAATAACGCGCCATAACCACTGATTTTCCMATTATTCTGAATTAAATTTTTCTAAGCTCCTTCTTCAATGACCCCTAGACCTTTTACTCTTTCCTACTTTGGTTACTTCACTTGAAACTAATGCTTTAGTTAAAAGTTTTTCTAGAGCTTTGTATTTTAATTTTAATTTGTTGTTGTTGTCGTTAAAAAAACATTTTTTGAATTGGTGTTTAGGTTTCTACGAGGCTGAAATACGAAGCGATCGGTCCCTTGGTCCCCCAGCTATTCTGACGTTGAACGCTACCGATAAGGACAGTGGTCAAAATGGTAATATTACTTACGATCTAGAAAGCGAGCAACAACTGTTCGCTCTCGATACGTTTACTGGAGAAATTACCCTTAAAGCGTCACCGGGAAGTGGTAAGTCATCGGTTACACATAAATTGTCAAATGGAAATTGAAGTCACATCATGAAGATGAAAATGATGATGATGGTGATGATAATGGGGATAATTATGATGATGATGATAATAATGATGATGACGATGATCATGATGGTGATGGTGATGATGATAATCGTGATGGTGATGGTGTTGATGATGAAGCTGATGATGGTAATGATAATAGTGATGGTAATGATAATAGTGATGGTATTGTATTTTCGATTCTTTTCTTTACATGTTAACACAAAGTATCTCTCGACTTACTATTCTTCCCGCTCTTTCTCTCTCTCTMTATTTATTTCGATTTACACGTGCGAATATGCAAATTAAGTTCATAGTCTGTTACGTCATGATCTCGCACAGATGATGATGATGGTGGTGAGGATAACGGTGATGATAAAGGTGATGTAATGGTGTTGATGATAAAGATGATAATGATGGTGATAATAATGATAATGGTGATGGTTGTGATAATAATGGTGATGATGGTAGCGATGACGAGGAAATGTTGATGACTATGGCGATGATGATGAAGGAGATGATGATGAAAACGACGGTGACAATGTTAATGATGTTGATGGAAATTACACGTAGTAACAGAAACAGTAACTCTAGATAAGCCTCATGTTTACCCTCCTTTTGTTTTATTGCCTCATTCTTCCATAGGTCAAAAGTACACATTCAGAGTACGTGCTAGTGACAATGGCGCTACTCCTTTACACAGTAATTACGCTAACGTACGAATCGACACTATAGAGGCTGAGCAAACAATGGTCGACATCACCTTAGATATCACTCAGGAAGAGTTCGAGGCAAATAAACAGTACTTTTTAGAGAAACTCTCAGCAATGCTTGGGGCTGATGTTAGGATTGCTGAGATACGCGRGGAAAGTGATAAGAAAAAGAGGAAGAGAAGAGAAACGAAAAAAGGGTAGGTTTGTCAGATCAAATAATTAAAGAGTGGGCCTTTTTTGCTCTAACAGGACATTCTCCCGAAAACTTGGACACTTTGCATACAATAATTCCATATTCATATTTGTATTTACATCWTATGTTTCCAGGAAGGCTTGGATCAGGTTACRCTGCACATGCACCTTGTTTCCACTTTCGTGGTGGTGCATGCCTGCATGTATGTCTTGGTCCAAGCCTTCTTGAAAACTTGAATAGCTTTAATGTATTATACATGCTTGTAATTTTTATCTAATTTTACCCTCTAATTTATTATCTGTTATGATATTTATATTTTTTGTTTAATTACCTTTTATTATTGTAATATATCTCTATATTTTTGTTAGGGTCGTTAGGGGAGAGTACAGTTTTCTGTAATTACGGTTCCCTCTTTAAATAAAGTGTTACTACTACTACTACTCATGCATGTAMCGCAATATTGCGGCTGCCATACGCCAGAGGCGCCTTTCACATTGATTTCATTTCGACCCTGTCGAGCTGCGCCACTACTGTACCTGTAATGACTGGCGACTAGCGATACATTGACGCTTTTTTTTTGTTTGTTCATGATATATGCTGGTTTTCACAATTTGKGGCATGTGCATAAGTTTTTCTGCTTTATAACACCTTATAACTTTCGATTGCTACTGTCTAATTTTTTATTTCTTTTTTCAAGGATAACGATTACTTTTTATGCTGTGACGAACCCCTCAACTAACGCAACGGACGTACAAGAGAAAATAAGCCAGGCCAAGAAATACCTATCACGTGATTCCATCCTCCAAGTCCTATTGGACGAAAACGGGAACCTCAATCCCGTTTTGACTAATAGCACTGAACTTGGGGTAAGTATTTTATTGTCATGAAATAGGATTGATAATAGCAAATTGACTATTTTCTGCGCTTACTTTAATGGGAATACGCCCTTTATGGTCTTGAAACGTTCTTGTAGGAAAGTGGTGGTAATGACAAAGCCAGTTTCTCCAGAGGACGAAAAACGGGTTTTTAGTAAGGGAACAAGATGTATTTCTCATTCATATGTKTTCTCGACACAAAATCACTCCACTTTTGGGAAAAGACATCGAGTTTCATTTTCATGCTATAAACGATAGATGATTGAACGAAGTCGATACGATTGATTTTTCGTTTTATTAAAATAACAACAGCACGCTATCCTTTTCGAAACAACGACGACTATCTCTCTCTTCAGGCTTTTCTCTACCTACACARCACAGGGTTCCCTATTCGGAATCTTATACGCATAAACCGACAGACTCCAATCCTTTTATCAAATATGTAATGTTTACAACATGAGCTGCCTGGGTTTATGGGCTATACAATTCCCCGCTACAAAATCGAGTGGCAYCCTGGGCACTAGAATGRCCGTGTTAGGCCTGGAGAGAGCGTKRGTAGACGAGCCGGAATTCACTAATTATTCATAWATCCTTTGGRRCATTTTGAATTCATATGCTAATTAGATACARCCACTAGTGCTGTATCAGAACAGTATACATCCACCAGTGGTTATRTCTAATTAGAATTTTCATTGTAAGGTTTGTATCGGGTTTACATGATATTCATGTGACCTGATTTCTAAAGCTGGATTGGCTAAGACCCTCATTAATTATTCATGAATTTTACAAGTAATATATACAATATGAGTGGCCGTGTTGTAT